AAAAAAAAAAAGAAAAATACTGTTGTTTAAAAAAAAACAACTCTACTTGTATCTATGTAGTCCATAGGTTCTGAATAGGTTATATTTCAAAATTCCTGTGGTATTTTAATATGCTTGGCCCCAGGACACAGATTTTTAGAGTATGGCTAGGAGATCAGCTGTCCAGCTTTCTTTCCTTTTTCTGACACCAGCTTCATTCAAGCCCTAGAGATCCACATTATTTTATCCCAACACCATGATTCACTCGCCTCTTGGCCATGCCCACCTCACTGTGTCTGCACACTGTGGACCCCTGGCCTGGCTACGCACCAGCTCCCATCACAGATGCTAAGAAATCTAAGTGCTTCCTTCTGCCTCTGGAACTTAACTGAGTTATCGCCCATCAGTTGGGACAGGACCTCCAGATCAAATCAGCTCAATGATTCTCAACCACTCTAAAAATGTCCAGTCACAATCACATGCAGGTAGGTATTTATGAAAAGTACAGAAAACCAGGCCCTTCCCAGACTCCCTAAACCCTAAACCAGGGAAGAGCCTCCATGCTTCACAGTTTCCCCAAGTGATCTGCATATGAGGTTGATGACCTGGTCTAACCTTTTATCTGCTGTCTGACGCCTTCTGTCCCATTGCCACGAGACATCAGCAGTGCTGAACGTGGTCTGACTTTGATGTCCCTCATCAGCACAGAAAGGAGCCCAGAGGGCCAACAGTGCTGGAGGCCGATGGGTGCAGCAGTGTTTCCTCTGTCTTGCTAAGATCTGCACTTCTCTAAGTCATCTAAGCCAAGGTGGAGGAGCTGGCTCACTTTGCCGACGTACCTTAGAGGGCACATTTTAAGAGTTAAGATGAAAACTCAACTTGTACTTTACAAAGCAGCACACGAACTTTGGAGCCAGACTGAGTAGGTTCAAATCCTGTCTCTGTCACTTATTATTGAGTGGCAATGGACATGGTATTTAACCCTTCAATACCTGATACTTGTGTTTAGAACATGTAAATAACAGTCCTGCCTCAACATGGTATTGGTACAGATGAGATATATGTACGTGTCTCTTACAATGGTGCCTAGCATACATCAACCTCAACGTGTAACATAACCTAACAAAAGGCTTACTGTGAGAATATAAGATATATATATATAT